CCCCCCCCAACCGCTCATAATAAAACCCACCCTCACGATCCAGGAAATCGAATAACCGCGTATACTCCTCGCCTCTAAAAAAGTCCAAATCCCCAATTTCGAAATTGGACCAAAAATGGCACATGTTCCACAAATCGCTCTCGGCATTGCGATTTCGCAGCCACGCCAGCGCGGGGCGCAAGGGCCAGGGAGCAAAACTCGGGTCGTGCAGTGCAGTCCACAAGGGAGATGTGAGGATAGCGTGTGCGGTCTTGTAGTCTGAGAGTTTGCGGAAGAGGGAGGGCACGGTTTTGCCGCGTTCTCAGAGGGCGATGGTGTAGGCGTAGCGTTTTTTGTTGCGCCGCATGTGGGCGAAGGGGTCGTAGGGGATGGCGCAGGTGAAGAAGATGGAGGGTTCGACGCGCCAGTAGTATTTGTAACGGAGGAGGGAGGGGTGCTTGTGGAAGAAGCTGGGTAGGGGGGTTTTAGAAAGAGGGGTTCTGTGGTGTTGAGGGTTGTTGGGATGGAGGGTTGAAGAGTGTACGTACCCTGATTGAAAGCGACACATGTGGTGGTATCCTTCTTGGGCGGCATATTGAATTTTGTCTTCCTCCATGGCCTTCATGTTGCGTCTTGCACGGTCTTGGTCGATCCACGAAGGGTACCCTCCACATGTCCTTTGGTATAGTGTTGAATTCCACACTCACGTGCCCTGCGGCAGATGTGTTTTGCACTGCTTCGCTAACCTTCTCTTTAAACTCTTCACTCCATGGCTTGTCGTTGAGAAAGATCCATGGGTACCCGAAATGATCGTTGAACTGCTTCTGCACGCTGCGGACGCTGTCTACCGCGCCACTGACTTCCGAGTTGCGGGCGAGCATAAGCAGGACGGCATTTTTGCGCGCCGTCATATTTGCCACGGGGTCTTGGAAGCCTGTGTGGAATGGTGCGTCTAGAGGGCGTGAAGGGCGGGTTATGGTGAAGCTGTGGATGTGGAAGAGGACTTCGAGGAGCATAAAGGTCGCAATAACCAAGATCGCTTTCCAGTGTGATGAAAATGTGCACAGCAAAGGGCGGAGCGGGTGCCGTGGTGGCGGCCGGATATTGAGTTTGTACATTAGAATAATGCGAGAAGGCTGTCACATCATGGCAGAGGCTCATGGAGAAGAAACAGGAGGAAGCAATGCGAATGCCACGGAGGGACTCAGAGGATTCACCCCATCCATGTCTTAACGAAACATGTGCTTGAGTTTTCCCATAGTAGCCAACATGCAAATATCCGGGCCAAACAAGTGGCATAGTTGCAGCATAGCCCCATCTGGCCAAGGTGTGTATGTGTGTGGAGAAAAGGGTACCTGCGTAATCACACCTTGTCCAACACAACCCTTCTAAACTTACTCAAGATTATCCCACCCTGTGGTGCTGCGAGTAGGTAGCAGCAAAATTGGAGTGGGGCGCGTGCGTTGGTACATGTCATATTCACTCATTCTCTATGAGAAAAGGGAAAACAGCGTTGTGCTTTGTCGAGATTCTAGGTAGCTTTCCTTCCTTCATCCAGGCTGTGCCGCACACCGTTTAGCGGCGTGGTTGTTTGAAAGTCCTAACACACCAATGTCTATTAAATAACTGGTACGGATCAGCGCCATGGATGCCATTCCATGGTCGCATATCGTCTTCCGATCTCTTGGCCGCAATTGTTGCTGGATGTGTGTTGCCAATAGTCACAATGATTACCCCACATCCGGGAAAAGTGCGTTCTGAGACTGAGAGATATGTGTGAGCTGGGGTATCTTTGGAGATTATCATTCTTCTCTACCAAGTGATAATTAGCAGAAAAAGGAAGTGCGCGACCATGGGTCATCAGGACTGCCATGACTATACGTGCTCCAGCTCATTAAACGGCGTCTTGGTCATTTTGCTGATCCTCAATAATCTAGTTGCATCTTTAGTTGGTCTTCTTATCCGGCCCGGCAGTTCCTCGAAGCTTATTCAAGTTGAATGTCGTTGTGAAATAGAAATCCAGAGCTGCGGTTGGCAGATAAGTCCAAGCGAACCATACAATCCAGCTCATCTTGCCCTCCCATATCCATCTCGTTTTTCGGAACAAGCCGTCGCCAGCGAGGACCTGTTTTACACAGCTGTGGGCATACTGCTTGGTGTCCATGCCGAGCTCCTGGCTGTGCTTGAGTCTTCGCTGGTACTCTGCCGCCAGCGGCTGCATATATGAGCCTGGCGGTAGCGTGCGATCTTGACGCGCAATATTCGATTTCACGCCGCCCGTGACAACGGTGATGACACGGACGCCCAGCGGCGCAAGTTCAACGCGCAGAGTGTCGGAATACGCGTGCAGCGCCGCTTTGACAGCATTGTACGGCGCCCCCCATACATACGGCATGATACCTGCCAGCGATCCCGTCTGGACGATTGTGCCTTTTGCTTCTATCAGGAGTGGAGCGAAAGTGCTGCACATCTTCATGAGGGAGAAGAGATTCGCTTGGAAGAGCTCGTGTAGCTCAGCCTCGTCGTAGTCCAGCGCGGGCACAACATAATTGCGGCCTGCGTTGTTGTAGAGGATGTCGAGTTTACCTCCGGTGATTTCGGTCACGCGTTTGTGGAGGGACGCAATGGACTCGTTGCTGGTGAGTTCTAGGGGTAGATAGGTTATCCGGGGGTCGGGGGAAGGGTATTTGGCGGGATCGCGGACGGTGCCTAGCACGTGGAAGCCTTTTTTTGGTCGTCAGCGTTGGGTTGTGGATGCGTATATACGTATATGCGTAAGGATACATTTGGAGTGCTTGGCATACCCCTCTGAGCGAATTCCAGGGCGAGGTAGTGTCCAATGCCACCGGGCGTGCATCTGTTCGCGTCAGCATTGCTATTTTCTCTCGTTCGCGCACGCAAGGAAAAGGATGAATTGCTGCAGTGTCACATACCCTGTGATCAGCGCATACTGCGGCCTCGTGTTTCCAGCCATATTTTACCTGGGGGTTTGGTCGTCTTGCAAAGGTATGTTTGTGTGCGTCAGACCGTGATAGCGTTCCAGAACTCTCATCTGCTCTAGTCCCACTTTTCGGCCGTTCTGTCCACAGCGCGTCGACGTCATCGCCGCACGTCCGCGGACTTCTTTCTTCACAAGCACTTTCGCGTCCTGAACTGCTATGCTATCTTGCTAGTGCTAATGCCTGACTAATCGTTGCTAGCCATCTTCGCACAAAACATGTGAATCCCCGTCCTTCTTTCTACATATCAGTTTTTTATCAATTGCTGTGTTATTTAGTCAGATAATACAGCCGAACGAAGACCTAGTTCCGAAGAGCCTATCTGAACATCAGCGTTTTCCTATCTTCCTCACTATCATTTCTATCACACATCCACAGAGCGCCATCATGACGTCCGCAGATTGGTTGGGAAAAGTTATCCCTACCCTTCTCCGCCCATCTATACTCTTGTGCATATCAGCATATCGTACGACATACCACCATATTCTATCTCCAGTCAACAAGTTCTGACAGCGGCACAGATTTTGTCATAACGATGTTCGAAGTAGTCTTCTATGAGTGGAGCCCCTTCACTCTATTCAATATCAACAAACTGCGGTCCAAAGCCTTCGCCCGCCTTTGGAAGCACAATGGTGAAGCAATGTCCACCGAGATGCCCGGCCCTACTTTTGAACTCCTGTCTCAGTGCAAAGGCGTGATTCTAGATGTTGGCCCTGGCTCGGGAGAAGTACTGTCTCGCTTCGATCCGAATCTCATCGTCGCAATCTACGGCGCTGAGCCCACCGAGGACTTACATCCGGGACTTCGGAAAAATGCCGAAAAAAGCGGCCTAGGGAGCAAATACCATGCTCTGCTCTGCGGTGCTGAGCCTGAAAGCCTGATTCCTGCACTGCACAAGAGTGGCATTTTGAATGTTAGTGGAAAAGGAGGCTTGGCGTCTGATGGTGTGTTTGATGAGATTTGCTGCACACGCGTACTTTGCAGTGTACCTCATCCAGAACAGACCATCAAGGGTCTCTACAATCTTCTCAAACCTGGCGGCCGAATGGTAATCTGCGAACATGTCGCCAATCCATGGAGAACTCAGGGTAGTGTCGCGGCGCGCTTCATGCAGCTAGTGTACACTATCATTGGCTGGCCTTTCTTCATGGGCGGATGCGAACTCCAGCGACACACATTGGAATACCTGAGAGATGCCGGAGAGTGGGACAAGTTTGATTTGAAATACTACGGTCCCAAAGATTGTATCCCTTTTGTTGTTGGTGAGCTGGTCAAGCGGCATGGCGAGCTGGACAAGAGCTATGCTCAAGCTATCAAGGAGTAGTTTGAGGGGTTTTGTGCATAGTGAATGGGTCATTTACAGTTCATCGGAAACAGAATGTTGAGACATACATATATCAATTCATATTAGGTCAGTGCAACGCGCTTTTGTAGGAAGCCCTTGCGATGAGTTGTTTACATCAATCAAGTGTACATTATAGTTAAGATTATTATATCTTATTACATGTATAATGTTTGTACATATCCAGCTCTATGAGAGAGACACCCAGCTTTTGAACATAATCGACACCCTTATTTATCTGACAAAGAAACCAAGAGCCATAGCCAACAAAGTGACACCCAAATTCTGACTTCCGAAACTTCCTGCTGCAGCATTCGCGGTTTGCTCAGCCGGACTAGCAGTCGATGACGCGCTAGTACCCGCCTCCCCACCTACGTTCGATACAGGAACAGTAGCAATGCTTGATGGTGCTGGTGCCTGGGAAGGAAGAGCCACAGGCGAAGAGACGCCTGAGCTTGCTGGTGCTCCTGAAGGGCTCGGTCGTGAGCCAGATGAACTGTTGTTCTGTCCCCCAGAGCCACCCGGAGTTGAAGAAGGCGAAGCCGACGCGACCGGAGCACGCGAGGCATTACTTGAAGGTGTTCCCGCACTGGGCGTGCCTGTTGGGCTTGCTGCAGCACTAGTCGCACTGCCTGCTGCACTGCTTGCCGGTGCAGCGGATGGAAGATTATCGGGCAATGGATTTGCATCTCCACCTTCGCAGTTCGCCTCGCCTCCGAGCTTCACTACCATTCCTACACCCGCCATCGCGTCCCGGAACCCATTGTCGTCCTGGAACTTCTTGATATCAAATGCCTCGTTTTCTCCTGGAACTTTCAAATCGGTGATTTGCCTCCTTCCGGGGTTGGTGAACATCAAAAACGTGTACTGTCTGTTGTCGCCTGTCTCGCCCACAGAGCCTGGGGCAACATAATCAACGGCTGGCGGGGTATCGGTGGCGATGTTGGTGATATCGAAGTTATTCTTGAAGTTCGCGCGCGCATAGTGTAGCTTACGGGCGTTGGTACATGTTGTATCCACCATGATGATGGTGTATAATGTAGTTGGGGAAATGCCGTTGCTGTCGCCCAGAGCAAACGTGGGTTCTTTTGCTACAGCTAGATGGGTGTGAGCTGTTGGTTCGTCCGAAAAGTCTTCACTGACTACTAACCGTCTTTTTCAAAAGTTGTTCCATCTTTGAAACCATTGATCGCTTGGTTGGTGTAGCTAACTTGGACTTCGTCACTGCCGAACCCAGCCTGTAGATCTTGGGGTATGACACTGCCGCCTTGTGCAGCCGTTTGCGATACAAAGGCCACCAGGGCCACCACCTTCCAGTAATAGCGAGAAGCCATGATGTGTAAATTACAAAGTATAGGGTGGATATGAGTGATATGAGAAGAACAGAATGAAAACAAAAACACTTAAGCACTGCTTAGAGTTGATATGGAGCCTGTCGTCTTTGCAAAGTGACTTGCAGCCCCAGGTTATATATACATCCTCAGCGACCTCTATATGAACAAGGCTCTACACGCACAAACAGCGAGGAGTAATATGATCTACGCCAAATGTTCCGCCCCAGGCTGTTCAACGCATGCCAACCCCGGAAAATAGTCGCAGGATTCCACTAAAACCTGATCAAAGTAGAGAGCAGCATTGCAGATCCATTCGTCTTCAGACGGCAAGCGCATAGAGT